TCAGCAGTAAAGAGGCAGTGAGCCCCGGCTGGGGAGGCCAGTGTGCAAGCAGGGAATGCATGTGTGAGCTTGTGCTTATGCATGTTGCAGCGTGCACACGCGCGAGTGTGCACATGCATGTGCGTGCACTTGTGCACGTGTAGTCTGCGGCAGGGGTGGGTTGTGTGGAGGGGGGTTGAGGTCAGCAAGCTGCCCGGATGGGGGATGGCTGAGGGCACACAAAGCGCGGGGCGGAGGGGGAGGAAAGGAGCAGGAGGGCTTCTCTTTGCCATTCAGCTCACGCCAGAAGTTCCCTGCACGCTGGGAAAACCGGGGCCGACCAAAGCAGCCATTATGTCCCAGGCCTCTCTCAAGTCTGCCTGGCACAAAGGGCTCTCCCCAGTGGGCTGGGGACCGGCACTGAAAGGAGAGCCCAGCAGCTAGCACTGCCATCGCTGGCCCCCAGCCCTCCCCAGGGAGCACCTGGGGATGCCGGACATGTCACAAAGGGGCTCTGGCTGCTCACGGCCTCTTGCAGCCATCCGGAGAGAAGGCTGATGCTGGGGATGCAGGGAGATGCCCCTGCGCCGCGCAGGGGAGCACAACCCTGATACTCACTCACCCTTCTGCAGAGGCTCCTCAGGGGGCCGGGGGGCTCCTCAGCCCCCCATACCAGGGATGCACCGCGCGGTTCCCTGGGGATGCACAGTGACCCCGAGACTCAGAGCAGCTTTGTAATTTATGGGCTCTTTGTGCTGCATTTATTTTGGCAGCCACAGAAGCAGATTTGGCACCACCGTGGTGCTCTCTGGACGTCCTCCTGATGGGAGGCTGTCCCCATCGCCTGCATCCCTCTGCGAACAATGCTCTCTGAGTTTACCCATGGGAAGAATGCACCAGGCAGAGGGTGTGAGTATAGTCCCCAGCAACACACACCATGTATGCACAGCCCCTAGCACCATGCACCATGAATGCACAGCCCATAGCACCACACACCGTGGACATACAGCCCCTGGCACCATGCACCATGGACATGGAGCCCATAGCACCAAGCAGCATGGATGCACAGCCCCTAGCACCATGCACTTATAGCCCCTGGCACCACGCACCGTGCATGTACAGTCCCTAGCACCATGCACCATGGACATCGACCATCACGTGCAGACCAGAAACCACCCCCTTCCCAGCAGGAGCTCGGCACGGGCAGCCAAAGCCTGATCACCCAGGACCTGGCTGGCAGAGCCAGAGCCAAGCTGGGGGCTTTCTCTGCTCTGGCCAGATCATTTGAATTCAGCCCCATGGCTCTGGAGCGAGAGACAAACCCCTCCTGCTCGGCAGCCATGGCTGGGCTCCAGTGCAGGGACTGGCTGCCGTCCCCCCGGGCAGCCAAGCGAGGAAGGCTTTTGTCACGGGTGCCTTTTCTTCCTGTTCCCAAGGCGCCGCAGTGGCGTGAGCAGTGGTCGGCAGCAGCCATGAAGCCCCAGGGAGGAAATTCAAGTGATAAAACTCTGCAAGAACAGGGGAAGCTGGGGTGAGCGGGTGTCTGCTCCCCTCCTGTGCCCATCCCTGGCTGGGACCAGGGTGCCGACACCGGGAATGGGACACGGAGAGGGTTAAACCTAGTTTCTCCCTGCCCATGGGCAATGTCCCAAGGTCCTGGAGTCCGTGATGGCTAGAGACTCTCAGACGTCACATTTGGGGTTTGGGGTTGGATATTTGGGTTTTTTTTTTCCTATTTGCCACAAATGGAAAATTTGTCAGCCCACATGTTGGGAGGGAAAAGCTGGGAGCAGGACTAGGGAAAGGGAGCCAAAAAGCTGGGGGAGGGGGGTAGCAGCGGCTCGTGGGTCTCAATCGTCTCTGAGACCTTGGAGCTCAGGAGCTGACGGGGATGGACCAAGACACAGGCACGCATGCAGGCGGCAGGGCTGGCTAACCTCCATTTCCGTGGGAAACCAGGTGGAAAATGGAGCTGAAGTCTATTTTGGGATGGGAGTGATCTTTCTTTCTCCCCTGAGTTGGGCCCTGCTTTCAGATGTGGCTCCTTGAACACGTGGCAGGCGTGATTTGGGGCTGCAGCACCTGGTCCAGGGTGAAAGGCAGGAGATGCTGCGAGGGGATGGCTGAGGGCCGGATCCCTTCCCATCTCCAGAGAGGGGCTTTCTCCTCCATGGCCCCCTTGTCCCCTCCGCGTGACCATTACTCATCCCAGCTCACAAGGTGCCCTGCCAGCCCGCAGCGAGCCGGGGGGAGGGCAGGCAGCGGAGCGGTGGCTTTCCAGGGATGCTCAGCTGCAGAATGAGTCAGCAGCCACGGGCAGAGTCTGGCCCCGCTCCAGGCACAAGCGGACAGCCCCGTCCCCACCAGCAAAGGGTTTCGGACACCCAGCTGCCGTCCTGGCCAGCCGAACAGACTGATGTCCCCATCCATGCACGCACCCATCCTGGCACGCACGTGGCTGCCTCTGTATCGGTTCCCCTCCCTTGCTGCAAACTGGCCCTGAGTCCAGGATCCGTCCCCACCCCTGGATCTGCATGGGGTGCAGCCATGCTCAGCGGGGTCCCTGGCACAGGGCAGTGCTGGGGGAGACGGCAGCTCCCCTGGGA